GGGTAGATGTGATATCTTTTATTAGACCAACTGAGTAGCTGGGGAAAGGTCTTTGCAAGCTTTGGGGCACAGTCATCCTTTGTCAGGCATAGGGAGTCTCTGCTGGTCTGAGAATCCAAGGAATGAGAGAAGATAAAAGACCCGATGCCTGAAGAAGGGTGAAAGCTTGCTAAGAACTGATTTCCAACTACTCAGTAGGTGTAATAAAAGATATTACATCTACTCGAAGAACCTTGCCTTTTTTAAGCACTGACTTTATAGCAGGGGTTGGTCCTTTTGATAGCTGCAGGCATTTTTGATCATTACTTTTGCACCGGTGGCCGGTGTAAATTTACTGGGCCATTCAGCAGGGAGTTGTGTGATCATCACTTTGCCTATGTGGCCCGCTTAACTGTGTACGTGTGGCGAGGTCAAAATATACTGCGTGGTTTGCTGGTGACTTGCATAATGTATGTAATGTGCAACAGGGGCCCGAGTGTCCCTGTGCTACGAGAGCAATGATTGCAGCCCGATTTGCTCTGGGTTGGCTTTTACATGTGCACACCCCAGGTGGAAGTGCAGTATTTTGAAGTTTTGCCCAGAAAAAATAGCTCTGGCTCTGCCAGCACCAATCTACTGAGAATGGTCGCAGAGTGTCTCCTTCAGGCTGACCTAATAAGTATCTAGTTGGTATAACCAAGCAAACTTTAGTCCCTAATTTGGGCACCGCTTATAAATGATGCATCCATAAACGATGTAGCATTGAATCTTCTGAACAAGAAGTGACAGGTCTCAGCTTTTTCATTATGGTCACAGGAAAGTGGCATTGGGCAATCCAAAAAAGGGGTTTTAGCTAGTCAAAGCTCACTTCCTTTACTTGGATAATCGCTGAGGCAGGAAACGGAGTAACAGAATAGGTCCTAAAGTTAAATTGCCTGTTATGGTGACATTCCTAAAAATGTATTGCACTGCTTTTTTGGGTGGGGAAATAATGGATAGGGATAGTGGAGAAAGGGTACGGGGGGTGCGGCTCACCTCGCTGTAGGTAGTTTAGCTCAACCCTGTTCTCTGTCCCAGGAGATTATAGTCACTTTGTGGAAAAATGCCCATGACTGAGCAGCGGGCTCTACAGTCTGCTGTCAGCTAACATGTAAAACTGCCTTATTTTTGCAGTGAGCACATGACTTGAGTTTAGTTAAGGAGTTAAAGCACTAGCTCAACTCTCTTGGACACTTGAGGAGCATCTAATCAGGGGTTTATTCTTTTATACGCAATAGCCCAGCATAAACATTTTCTTGTTGCTGCACAATAAAGCGTGCGCGTTTGCTTCCCCTTGTTCTTGTTTTCTTATTTAAGTTTCATTTCCAAATGTCACTTTGGGTTTAGGTGGCTGAAGTTCAATCCAGCCTAAAGCTGTGTTTGACAAACATCAGTACAAAGAGGCGTCCGGGCATGAGACCCCAGGATCATAAAGTGATTTCTTACACAACCTCTTTTACTTGGGTTTGACTCTGTGGAAATACACTTCCCTTGTCGGGGCAGTGCTACAGTTGCCCTGTGTTGCATAGCAAGTGTGAAAACAAACTGTCTCCAAGACAGCTTGTCTCTCGATCTCATCTGTTTCTAACTTCCGACTTGCCTCTCATGCTTCCTTTGGTTGGTTTTCTGGTGTTTTCATCTTATTTCATGCTGCCCTTTTCATTAGAAAGAAATCCTGTGAGATTGTGCACTGTTATGCCTCTGTGTGTTACGAGTTAAAAAAAAAGGAAAGAAAAAGTTGGGGTAAGCAATCTGCCTTGTTTCCCAGAATCTGCTTATCTGGGCGCACACTTGGTGATGTTCACTTTATAAGCTAAAATGTCCAAGTATTGCAGGTATTCAGCAAAACTGCTTCCAAGACTCTGATGAGAACAAGTCCGTCGCAGCGTTTGCAGAAGAGAGAAAATGTGGCTTTGCAAAACCAAGTTGTGTTCTACTGAAGCAGATAATCTTGCATACTTTTTCATAGATTAGTTTTTCATCCTTTTTTCTGTTTTATTCCTAGGCGATTGTGCACCCCCTCCCAGATTCAGTTTTGCTGAGCTAGTCACAAGTTTGGATTCCTATCGCATTGGGACTGAAGTGACCTATCGCTGTCAGCCAGGTTTCATTCGTGTTGGTGGAAAGTCTCCTGTCATTACTTGTCAAGATAACTCTACCTGGTCACAACCCTCCGAGTTTTGTGTGGGTTAGTATCTCTGCTGTTCTGTCTCAATTGACCTGCAGGCCACCTTTACATCATTTGGGATAAGAACAGATAGAGAGAGAAGCAGACAGCATAGCCAGGTTCAAAAAGGACATGGATTACTTCAGGGATGAGAGATCTATTAGTGGCTATTAGACAACATGCTTGGAGCGGTGTTGTCTAGCATCTCTAAACCAATAATGATGGGATGCCAGAGAGGGTAATCACTCTGGAGAGATCTGGTTCAAAGCTCTCCCTCGGTAGCATCTATTTCTGCCACCATCAGAGACTGAAATACTGGACTAGATGGGCCATTGGTCTGACTAACATGGCACTTCTTATGTTCTTATGTTTTACTGAGTTGAACAGTGCACATTTTTGCTTTCCACCAAGATAACGTGAAGCACTGCTAATGCCAGCCTTGCTCTCTTCCAGCAAAACAGTGCCCAGCTCCAGACATACCGAATGGTCAGCCTATTGTAACTGATCTCCGGTTGGGTGCGAGAGTCAACTTTACCTGTTCTGCCGGGTACGTCAAGTCACCTGTACTGACTCATCAATTGAATGTTGGTTTGTAGAAAGTGGGCGGTGAACTGCAGGGGAGTTGGGGGCAGGGAGAGACTAGAAAACCTGGGAGGATTTTAGAAGCCGAGTTGGGGCTGGTGCTGATGGACAGCAGGGGTGCGCCCCAGTAAGAGCTGGAGGAGGCTGGTCAAGCAGACAGTAGTAGGGGTTCCCAACAAGAGGGGTTCTTGCCAAAGCAACCCAGGCTAGAGTGCTCATCAGGTGGTGGATTGTGCGGGAGGGGGGGAAGCCTCACATTTGGAGTGGGAGCGGGTTCACCTGGCTTCCTGTGACCAGTGCCACCTCTCCCCTAATCGGGTCCAGCTATTGGTTACGCCTAGTGCCGTTACATGGACTAAAAGTTAGCAGCAGATGAATGCAGACCTCTTCCTGCTCCGAGCACAAGTGTTTGCCAATGGTGATTTTATTTGTTTCATGTATTATTCATTAGAACTGTAAGGTTACTTCTAAAATGAGCAATCAGGAGAAACAAAAGAAGTTGTGGACATCCCTTGTAGGATTCAGCAGTTGCTCAGGCTAGTGTTGAGGGCACTTATTGTTTTTTTTCTTCCACATGGGTCATGTCTCAGTGGCTTCTGGCTTTCTTGCACAAAACAGGCACTTCCAGATGTGGTAATGTAATGGAAGGCTTTGCGTTTCCACAATGACTGGTTTGTGCCCGTGCAGGCGATGTGGATTTTTGTTTCATTTCCTTGGCCTGTTCTGGTAGAAGAGCAGTGTTCAGGACAGGCCTCTGGAGAAGGGAGAGCAAGCCCCATTGCCCATAGGACTGATGGGGCCTGGGGTGGAGGGAGCTACTTAGAGGGCTGCTGCCTTCCCAGGCCTGGCAGAGGTTAGGAGCTGAGCTCAGGGCTTTTTGCTGCAGGCAAGTCGACCGATGGCTTTCTGAATGAAGAGGCACGGATAGGTCTGCACTCTCACTGACTAACATGGGAGGGGTGTTGCTGCAGTTTCTGTGGGGTCTGTAGGTTTTGGAATTGTGCTTTGGGTTTAAACATCTGAGTTAGTCCTTAGATTTCTTTTGGTAAGCTCAGGTTTTGGGAACGGATTGAGGCCTGATGCACAACAGCCCAGGACAGCTGTCTCCTCTCCCATCAGTGCTGTCACCGCAGGGGAGGGCTGGTTTTAGAAACAAAGTTTCTATGCTCGGTGAAAACCTGGTCAACCCCCTCCTTCCTGGTCTGTGCCCCCACAGTAAGTTTGACAGGAGCTGCCAAAGACCAGCAAGCAGTGCCCTGCTCTGGGCTGCAGAATGGTCCAGGCATTCGTCGCTGAAAGCAGACTGAAATTACCTTAACGCGAGATAGGTAGCACGGCACAGAGCTAACCCTCGCCTGAAGTGGCATAACTTTGAGGGCACTAAGCATGACTTAGAAAGCTTTAACAAGCAGGTGCTCATGTTTTAGATGTTTTGTGTAAGAATACCCTTAGAGACCTGAGACAAGTCTGAACCTTTTGGCGATTGCTGTTTGGCTCACAGTGCTGTTAGCTTCCTGGGCTTTGGTCAGATCCCACTGCAGGGACCAGTTGCCCTAACTCAGCGCTTTGGGAATGAGAAGAATAAAGAGAAAAAATGTCTAATTTGGTGGAAGAGCTGCTTATTGCCCTCAGCAAGGGATTAGAAAGTATGCGACTCCGCTCTGGGAGAGAACGGAGGCGCGGGGTTTTCCCAGCAAATGTTTTGGCAAGCGTAGAAGCGCGTTAGCACTAACAACTGGGTGTTTCTTACTCCTTCGTGTTCCTTGGGCCTTAGCCACATCTTGTTTTATATTTGGGATTGTTCAATGGTTTCTCCACTCTGGCAAAAAGAGCTGGCTGCCCATCTTTGCTAACAGTTACCTAGCTCTTCATACATTTGTGTAAGAAACCGGAACCTTTGCTCTGTCTTTAGGTACAGATTAATTGGCAGCCATTCTCTTCGATGTGTGCTCGATGTCGGAAGCAATGTTCGTTGGGATGGCGAGTTTCCCTACTGTGAAAGTAAGATGATTACATCTAATGTCTTTGACTTGCCCTAGATACAAGTGGGCTTGTGTCTGGTGAAGGAACCGAAGAGCAGTTGGAGCTGTTCTCTCTCTTCTTTGTGCCATAGGGGGATAAAGGGAGCCTGGGCACAGGTGTAGGCCCCAGTACACGATGGTCTTACACACCCGTGAGCATTCACACCTGTGACGTAGAATACAGTGGCCAAGACCTCACAAAGCACCACAGTAACTGTAGAGTAGAGAACTGTTCCTTTCTACTGAGCCGTACGTGTCTCCAAACCTTGTTAGGGAGGACTGAATGATTAGATTCATTTTAGATTTGCCATGGTACAAGAAAAGCATATTCATTTTAGACTTGCTATGGTATAAGACATGCTGCCTTTGGATTAATCATCTCAGGATAGGGATGGATGTAACATTTGGAGCACTTCACAGTGCAGGTGCACTGCAGCAGGGGGATGTGGAGCCAGTGTCAGTGAGAGCGCTCCTCTCTGCTCTGTCTGCTCTGCTGCAGCCCTGTGCCACCCCGCTAGCAGAGCCAGGCCAGTGGGTGTGGGGAGGGACACTGGGATTGGGGGCTGGAGAGCAGGAATCCCCGATCCATGGGAGGGAACATGGGGCTCTGGTCTCCCAGTTCCAGGATTTCCTAGCTGTAGTGGGGAGGACGTGGGACCTCCCGATTCCAGTGAGAAGGGGATGTGCTCTGGAGGAGCAGAGGTGGAGCTGACAGGGAAGTGCTCGCTGATACAGGGTGCCACTGTCCTCCTCCCACAGCGCTAGGTGTTCAACACCATTGCAGATGACACCTGGAAGGTAGGTGACACGTCTACCAGGGTGACAGGTTAATAAAGCACCATGTAATGGATACACCTACCCAGGTAGTAACGTAGGGCACACCTGCATGACTACCTGTGTGGTAACGGGTGGTTGGTTATCTTGTGCAATCATTATAGTACAACAAAAATCTAAGCCATGTAACTTCTTTCCCACTTGGGGCATGTAACCCCAGCACATTTCCCCTCTGCTGCCCAGTTTAATGAAGCAAACACAGGGATTAAAGGCTTTGTGTTTATACTTGCTCTGTTGTTTCTTTAAACTTAATAAGTACTTCATGGAGGAAACCAGGGACGAAGACAACCCATGCAGGGCTAAGGTCTGGCCGCCTTAGCTGCTTGCAACACAGGTAGCAGGAAGTGTTTCAGTTGGACGTGCTCCTAAGTAGTAATGGTTTCCATTAGAGTTGCTTTTGGAGCAGTCCTGTTGGTCCCAGAGCACTTCAAAGGGCACATCTGTCTGTCAGCTCAGTGCTACTCGCTCTCCGGAGCTTCTGGGGCTTGGCCACTTGGTGCCTGCTGGACTGCTGCAGCAGCATCCCAAATCCATTTTTAAAAATATCCCAAAATCCATGTTGTTCCACAGTTTTGCACACACGCATGCACGCACACACACACACACACACACACAGCCCCTCTCTATCTAGACAGAGAGAGAGACAGCAATCTGTTGGGCAATGCTTTATTGGCATATTTACAATGTTAAAGCAATGTGGAAGCCTACCGGTGTCTCTAGCATCATGATAAACTAAATTCTAAATACCTATATGTGTTGATGTGTACTTTTGGTTTTCTTCACACATAATGGGTGTGTGATGGGGGGAATGTGGTGTTTGCAGCAAGGGGGTGGGAAGGCAGGTGGGTGTGTGTGGAGGGATGTGGGTAGGTGTGGGGTGATTGCTGGGGGGACTGTGGGGGTGGGGGACCTTGTGGGGGGGGTGGTCAGAC